GGGTTTAGAGTTTAGGGTTTTGGGCCCCCCCAAACCCATGACCTTGACTACTGCATCCCTGGCTCTCGCCCCTCAACTCTGAAAGCCTTCTGAACCCTTTAAGCCACACCGAGACCTTGGGTACTCCCCCCCAGGTAACAGTCTATATTAGGGGTCCTAAGGGCTATAGATATTTATGACCATATTAGAATTCTTATCCAACTGTTACTGAGGGGGGGGCAGTACTGAACCTAGACCCTTGTAGCAATCCCTAGACCCCAGCCTGTAAACTACCCTAAGCCCTAAATCTAACAAAGCGACTTTTATCCCCATAGCAGTTCCCATATATATTCCTCAAAGAATCCATGGAATAGTATCTATAACCCATCGTCCCTTCCCACCTAAGCACATGATCTTAAATTCTAGACCCGAAGCCGTAAACTCTTCCTGCATTACCAACTGACAAGTATCGTTCGGATGGGCAAGCTATAGTCTACAACATCAGGCAGGATCGTTAGTTCCCTTTGGATGCGATATGTCTATGGCAAGGAGACAATAGTTTAACCGTTCAACGGCTTTAACAATTCCAGAATTAACAGTTTAACGACTCTAAAATACCAGAATCTCAACAGCAAACCTTGAAACCTAAATCCAAAATTCTAAACCCTACCTAAACCCTGATCCGGGCTTAACTGAAGCCTAAACCGAACTTTTTTTACAAGTTGAAGCCTGGAACCATACTAAACCCTTTAATTCCTCAACCCTACACCCTAGACCCTAAGCCCTAAACCCCTAAGCTCTAATCCCCTAAGCTCTAATCCCTAAACCCTACACCCTAAAACCAGCTAAGGGACGTTCATCAAGGAAAGCTTCAGCAGCGCGACTTGCCCAATAGCGACGTGAAGCTTCAGAAGCACAGGCCAGGTGGAGCGTGTAGGGTTTAGGGTTTATAGGGCTTAGGGTTTAGGGATTAGGGATAAGGGTTAGGGGATTAAGGTTTAGGGTTTCGGGATTAGGGCTTAGGGTGTAGGGCTTAGGGTTTAGGGATTAGGGTTTAGGGTTTAGGGATTAGGGCTTATAGGGTTTAGGGTTAGGGTTCGTCTATAGGGACCCAAAAGTATGTAAAACAATATTTTTCTACTTCTGCTTAGGGGTTTTCGCCAGCGGTTTTAAATGTTCTTGGGTCTGTAGTGTAGGGTTAAAGGCAGAAACACAGGTCAGGGGCCAAACAGAAATTATTTCCTTAACTTGTCTGAAGGGCTTCTTGGGGTAACCGTCCATCTAAGCGATCTGGGCTCAGGTGAGGTCATTACGGCCCTAAGCCCTGAACCTAATTGAGCTATAGTCTAAGCCCCTTAAAGGGAGTTATATGGGGGAATATACAGGTGAGCATTGTAGGGCTTATTACGGGGTATACTAGGACACTCTAGCTCAATTCGTTTTTGTCCAGACGACTGGGCTTCCGACTTTGGGGTGTGGGGTTTGGGGGTTTAGGCTTCTCGGGCTCTGGGTTTGAGGTGATCATCTGGGGATTAGTTAGGGTTTAGGGTTCAAGTTCTTTCTGAGGTTCAGAGTGTCTGGAACCCTGACAGCAGCCCTGTAGAAAACGTTGTTATCTCTTCGAAACGGAAATGAACCCAAATAGGGGGCTGTATTGAGTTGCGTGTTTTTTGGGGGTGTGGGTAGCTTATTCTTAGACCCCAGCCCTAAGCCAAGCACCTAGCCGCTGGGTTTGGATGTGGAGCCCTCCAAGCTTTCACGGTGTGAGCGGCCTGCTTTCAGGGACTGGGGAATGGCACAAGGGTTTCACCAAGCTGCCTGTAAGGGCATGCCGTGACCCCTGCGCTTTCACACGTTGGCACTTGAGGTATTTTGGTAGTACTATTGCAAGGATATCGGAACGACCTTACACATGAGCTTATCGATTTGAAGTCATGACGCTGTTCGGAAAGTTACGCTCCCTCAAACCTCCATAAAACCCCCAAAGCGGCCCGACGAAGACCGCGATCCTTATTTCTGCAGCTTACATGCTTTTCCGTGTTCGTTTGGGGAGGGTACTAGTGACGGTAACGGGGTGGAAGTTGTGCTCAAATTTGCGGAGGCTGCATCATGATCTACTAGACCTAAGCACCCTTCCCTACTTTGAAGCCCTGACCCCCAAGCTCCAAACTCTCGACCCCTAAGCCTAAACCCTAAACCCGCCTAGAATTTTTTTTAGCGAGAAAACGCAGATTGGGTAACGCAACCCCAAGATTCTCAAGATCTCTCAAGTCCCCTGACCCTTGAGCCTGGACCCCCAGAAACCCCACACCCCACCCCACACCCCAATCCACGCACATTTCCACAGGAAGAAGGTCTGCAAGGGTGCCAAGCTTTCCAAGAAGGTCCTCTGAGTAGTATTCTATTTGGGGGTACTACGGTACCCAAGATAGAGGTCTAGGGTTTTGGGGTATAGTATTTTGTATCAGGAATAGGACCTTACGGGCTTCAACCCCATAAAAAAACGCTACCCTACTGGTGCTTGAGGGGGAGTCCAGGAGTGGATGCTTGAACTTATCCTCGTAAGGTTGTCATTGAGGGTCCTTCGTGTAGCTGCCCCAAACAGTTAAGGTACCCACAAAGGGGCTATAATTTCAACATTCCCCCATCTGTACCCCTATAATAGTATCTGGTCGTGAGCTGCAGATGAGTAGTATTTTGTTTGGGATTTCTGCTGTCCCTCATATAGAGTCAGATTACAAGCTCTTTTTTGAGTTATGGTGCTTCATGTGAAGAATTCGTGTCTGGCTCCACATCACACAGAACGCTACTCAAGTGGCAGTTCAGGTTCAGGGTTTAGATTTTAGAGATTGGGTTTTTTACGTTTAGAGATTGGGATGTGGGGCTTTGGGCTTTGCATCTCGGACTTGAGGATCCGTGGGTTGGTTGCAGGGGCCTCGGTTTCAGCATTTGTGGGGTGCAAGGTTGTTCTGGTTCAGGGGCTTGTTGGAGTTGAGTGATTCCTGTTGAACTTTCACCCTCCGAGAGCCTTTTTGTTGAGTTGCCAAGTCCTCTTTGGATTTTAATCGAGCCCTAAACCCTAAATCCTGAACCTTAAGCCCTAAACCCAAACCCCAGCGATGTAAGTGAATAGTCCAAGGTTGTCTCAATTGCCAGCCTATCCAAGCGTTAACATGAGCCCTCAACACCACCGTTTTCCGCAAAGGTGTCTTGCGCGGGAGACTTATTGGTTGTGATTTCGCTGGTTCAGGTGTCATGGTGTAGCACAAAAGGCTTATTGATTTGGATGTGGGCCCCAGGCTTATGACCCTCGCAGTAGGGAACTGGTGCGTGGTGCTCGGACGTGGGTGTAGACTCCTGTGACAAGTCACAAACCAGCGCCGCAAGGAACATTAAACCGTAATTAGGCCAGATATTAACTCTTCTTTCGTCATTCTTAATCCCTACATAGCCCTAAACCCTAAACCCTATAGCCCTGTAACGCCAGCTGAAACCCTGAAAGAGCTACCCAGGCATGGCATTGGAGTGCATAGGGACCCAAATATTGCCGAGAGTGGAGAATCAGATTACATGGAATATGAAATGGGAACTGGCTTTATGTAGTAGCGTCCCAAAATAAGGGGACCCCAACGTACTATAGTCCTTATTTTGGGGACCCCCAAAATGGTACCCCCAATTTTGGGAAACTCCCATGTAGGGGGTAGTCTACGGAGTGGGACTTTCTAGTATCACTGAACGATGGTATCATATGATACTGGACCTGGGTGTCTGAGACGTATAGTCCCCCTTAAGTAGATAGAACATGGCGTATATGGAGATCTTATTATAATATACCCAGAGCCATATTCTATCTACTTAAGGGGACTATGTATTGTCGCGCGTCTGAGGGTTCATGTGAGAAATAGGGGCCGGCCTTTGTGAGGACCTCTTCAAAGGCTGCCCTTTCGAAGACAAGCGGTGTTTGAAGACAACGCAATCTGCCAGCAAATGCTTGAGGGTGGACGCGGTAGGGGTTCAAATGATCACCAATATTGTGGTTCTACATTCTGTATAAACATTTTAGTATAGGGTCTCAAATGGACCTTAAAACGGTATTGGTAATTATTTAGGCCCCTATAGTAGTGGTGGCCGATGGGTCCTACGTTAACTCAGTGAAGGGGGTTTCTCATCCCCATACTAATGACTGTGTCATTGTCGGGGCACATTGGGGAAACCTGAAGTCTTGCTTGAAGTTGAGAAATCCCGGTAGGCGGGCTGCTTTGGGGTAGTGGGCTTTCTTGCCTGGAGTTTTGGACCTACATTCTACCCCATTTAGGCTTCTGAAAAGGACGATCGTTGCAGCCATTACCTGCTGCAAGCACTAGAATTTGAAATTTTGTCAAGTTTTTTGAAGTAGAAGATGAGCAGTGAGCAGAGTGTTGCGAATGGATCCTCATATCGTTAAAGACTTCCAAGAGCCAGCACCAGCAGAGTTCCACGTTTGCTGCTTCTTGTGCGCGCGTTCTGGCTGCATGCTTACGGTGCACGGCAACAACACAGCAGAGTGCAGACGTCGCCAAAAGCGGGCCGGCATTAGTGACGTGTCAAATGTATTGCTCCACCACTTGGTGGCACCTTGCAATATCACATGTTCTTGACAATCCTCGTTTCCGCCTCCGCCGCTGTCAAAATGTCCCACCCACTCCTTATCTACACTTCCGACACTCCCTGAACCTTATGCTTGCAAAGATCAAAAGCATCCTGAATCTCAAGCCTTGAATCTCAAACCATGGAACCCAAATTCTAACTCTTCAACCGTAAGCCCTTGCCAACAAGACACAACTTCACCCCCATCACAGTTGGACCTACCTCTTGTTAGCGAGGAATGAAGGACTGGATCCTTAGAGTAGCCTCCATATGCCCCGCACCACTATTGTGATTTCTGTTTCATTGTCCATGACTTCATTCCTCGTTAACCGGAAGTAAGCAAAGGAAACACTGGCGCACCAAGAGGACACTTGGCTTGCCATCAAAGATCTGCGGGGACCGAAGTTATTCGAATTGGGTTTCACGTTTGGTTGCGTTAGTATCCTATAGTTTTTGGCCCTTCGTATTCCGGATAAGTAGCATCAATGTTGCGTCATATGGGGGATTGTCAAAATTATGGTCCCTTTTTGGGTCCCCTAAATTAGGCCCCGTATTATAATAAGGACCCAAAAAGGGACCATAATTTTGACAATCCCCCATATACCTACTCGGGCTTGAGTTGCACCTTTCGGGTTCAGAGATTTTTGACGTAGAAGGGGTGAAGTATTCAGGCCGTTTTGCACCTTTGAATTGGGTCATTCCCCCTCCCAGTACCTGTCCTTAAAGGGGCCTTATTAAGGGGGAATGACCCAACCTTTGAATGAGGAGCAAAACGGGTTGTCCTTTTTTCTGCGCTGGCCGCTTGCCCTTGACGCTACACGACAGGGAGTCTACCTCGTGTTGAACATCTTCCTGGTTGCAATGCTACAGTCGAGACTAAAAATCCTGTATGGCCTTAAGTGCCCCGTATCTTGGGAGATATGGCATTCGAGTAAAGCAAGGCCATGCAAAGTTTGAATACCACCCGTAGGTATGCCTCAGAGATATGAGATATGATACTTGTTTTTTCCACGGTTGTGGGGTTCTTATGGCCTTGCAACCCGAAGAGCTGAGCGAAGGACAAGAAGCTTTTCGTGGTTTTCGTGGTTTATGGGGTTTCAAGATTGTAGGCTTCAGGGTTTAGGGATTACGTGTTTCGCGTTCAGGGTTTAGAGGGGATGGATCTAAGGTTAAAAGTCTGGGGCTCTTACTATTGGGCCTTCAGTCCTTGTACTTTGTCAGTTGTTTGTATTGCCATTACAAAATTACAAATTCTGGAAGCTGCAGGGTTCAGGGTAGGTGGCCTGATGCGTCCCACAAAACGATAAGATTTAGGGTCTAGTGTTTAGGGTGAGGGTTTAGGGCCTAGGGTTGGGGTTTATCAGATAGATCCCAATCCTAAACTCCCTCAGAACATAGATTTTGTAGGATCCTCTGAAGATGCTACATGAACCCTCAGAAGAGAGGTTTTGGTTGTGTACGAAACCAGGTTTTTCCCTGGACAAAGTGCACTTTAGAATGGTTTATGCGCAGAACGTGCTGTGAATACCAGCATTTCCTACTTATAAGCCATCTAAAAATGCACTTTTTAAGGGGAAACCTCAAATCTGGAACAACTAGAATGAAAGCTTCAGGTGGATGGCAACACTTTAAAGAAGCAGCCAGGCACATGAGCATCATTGCCAAGATGGGGTGGCCAATTGGAGTTGACATTCTGTCAAGTTTGTCATTTGGGGCCATGTCTGAGTGCTTGATGCAGTTGGCATCCTGAAGCTTTGCAGGCCCAGGAAAGTGTGAGACAGTTTGTAGCCATGGCCAAATGCTTGGCAAAGAAATGGGATGGCCAGCAACGGTGCGCTTTGAGGGCATTGGAAGGCAAGAGGTTTTGTTGCGGGTCACAACCTTCTGCGCCCAGAATGCAGCTGCCGCTTTGTACACTTCACATTGGTTTGTCAGGATTTATAGTTCACGTGGGAGGGCACTGTACTCAAGGTAGGATGGCCGAAATAGCCGAAATAGTAGCATATGGCGGAAGCCATGCGAGATACGACCTTGTGGTCCAATCCTAAATACCCCCTTCACCCTGAATCCCTCAACTCGCCAACCTCGGAACCGTAAACCCCGAATCCCTGAACCGCGAATGCCCCAAACCCTGAGTCCTTCAACAAACAGTGCAGACGTGCTTGTGACAACCAAGGCTTTGTTCTGGACTTTACCGCCCCAAAGGCCGGCAATCCCCTCCTCCCAAAAATTCGCAGACCCGCCTACTTTGAAACGAATTTTCCCAATACATAATAGTATAGTATAGTATAGTATAGTATAGTACAATGTAATACAGTATAGCGTCGTATCGTATAGTAGGATGAAGTATAATAGAGTAGAGTATAGGATTGTATAGTATCGTATAACATAATGTAGTATAATCTAGTATAATATAGCATAATGTAGTATAGCATACTGTACCATGGTATACATACCAGAATGAGAAAATTGATATTAGGGTGGTGGCAGTTTTTGATAGTTGGGGGCTTTATAATAGGGGGAGTTGGGTATGGGGATTCGCAGGTCAAATATTGCCATAAGGATCCATAGGGGTATATTTCTCGTTAAAGAGGATTATACAGATTACAGAAGGATAGGGGATAGAGATTTCACACTGATATTGTTTTTGTTTTCAGATTGCAACCAATATGGATGAAAATCATTTTGGGGAAAAAATTGGAAGCCACGACATCTGTGGAGTTTAGGGTTTGGGGAATCAAATGGAATATGACATGGAAAAGAGGTGATTCAACGCTAAGGGTCAGATAGGCAGACAAAGTTACATGGCGATTAGGGTAAGCGCAATAAGGCAGAATCCAACAGGAGTTACTATAGTCCCTAATCAATAGTAAGAGTTTTTTTTGGAGTGTGTATTAGAAGACGATAGCTTTTCTTGGTCCAACCACAAAAGGCCACACCTCACATAGGAGTTTCCCAAACAGGTGCGCCCAGAAAAAGAGGTTCTTTCCAACCAGTGGCGCACTTCAAGGTGCCCACAGTTTTCTGTCATACTGGACCCGAATTCTCAGCAACAGGTTTTTCTAGCAATTCTTGCCATTTTCACAAGCACCAGCATTGAGAATCCCAATGCGGCCATGTATAAATGCAGTGATCTGTTCAGCCAAAGTAGGTTGTTTTCCCCCATGGGCCCCTGTTAAAATGACAATCTATAGAAGCCAGGAGGGGGTTTAGCTTCTCGGGATTTTTCAGGGACCCTGAATCAGCGATCGGCGCAATTTCTTGCTAGATTGGGTCTGCTGTCGCTGGACGTTCAAGTCTAAACAGGAAGGTTTCCGAAAGTTAGATTTCCGCAGTATCAGCACACAATCAGCGGCGCAACATGGGCCTTCCCAACATGCACCCCCTCAAAAACTAAGCAACGGGCCAAGACCTCATAGTCCGCTGATAATACTGGAGTTGGCCCTTGTAAGGGCTTGATTTGTGGGGATCCGTGTAAAGGGGTGGCAAACAAAACCCCATAAGGCTGCAAGATTTGCGAGCACCCTGAACCCCGAAACCCTAAACCCCTAAGCCCTAAAACCTTAAACCTTAACTCTAATCCTAAACCCTAAACCCAGTTATCTTGTTTGGCCAGGTGAGCACATCACTGCTGAGTCGGTTAAGGCAATGGCGCCATCAACGTTTAGGGTCTAGAGTCTAGGGTTAAGGGTTCAATGGTGCAGTCAATGTTCAGGGAAAAGGGTTCAAAGGGACCATCAATGTATAGGGTTCAGGGTTCAATGGTGACATCAATGTTTAGGGTTCAGGGTTCAATGGTGCCATCAATGTTTAGCGTTCAGGGTTCAATGGGGCCATCAACGTTTAGGGTTGAGGGTTCAATTGTGCCATCAATGTTAAGGGTTCGGGGTTTAATGGCGCCATGGAAGGTTTAGGGTTTCGGATCAGGTCTAGGATATAGGGTTCAATGGTGCCATCAATCTTCAGGGCTTAGGGTTCATTCAGCATGTGAAGTACAATCCTTCCCCAGTTGAGCAGGACGGGGCAATACCCGCCCGCCCATGGAACCCCCTGACACCAAAAAATTCCGCAGCCCACACTCGATCATCTCCGGCAAATCATCGGTTGAAACGCAGACGCAACAGTCATTACCAGACCGGGGCTCTTTAGATGAAATCCCAAAGGGTGCAAGTTGCAGGGGTTATTCCGGGATTATAAATGTACTCCCCAAGATTGCTGTTAGGTTTTGAGAAATTCCGCTGGAGGGTCCTGCCCACTGCACGTTGAAGCCACACATGCCGCAATAGTCACTACCAACGGGGGCCCATTAGGCACTTATAGTGGGTGGAGTCTGTAGAAGACTGTACTCGTTAGCAATGTCTTGGCGAGAGTAGTTGGACTTCCCCTTGTGAAGCGGTGTTTTAATTTATTTTGTACCTGAAGCTCGAAACCTTGAGGCATACAATTACGACGGAGAAGAGGAAGAGGAAGACGAAGATGAGGATGACGATGACAGCCCCAAGGCACATCCTAGGGTTCAGGGCTTTAGGCTGTAGGGTTCAATGGAAAGTCCTGTGGAAAGGAAGGCGCAACGTGAAACAGAAACTGGGCTCGTGAATGATTGCCAACCGTTTAGGGTTTAGGTGTCTTATAGTAGTATAATCACCCCGACGCCTTACTCTCTTCAGCAACCCCCCCAAATTAGCTTTTGGCTCCTCACTGTAGGAAATTGCGATGCCTGTCCTGAAAATTTTGCATGCGAAGTTTCGAACCGCATTTTTCAGCAAGCCACCCTAAACCCCCTTGCAGAGTAACCTCTGAAGGGTGAGGTGCTTAGGCATGCCCATGTGAGTTACAGGTCAATATTATGCTTAGTGAAGGATCATTAAGGGTGGACATAAGGGTTGCTCGCGTAGTTGATTCTAGTCCCAAATAAGGAACCCATGTGAGCTATAGTCTAAACTCCTCAAAAGGGGTTACAAAGGGGATCATATAAACGATTACGATAGGGGTTATTAAGGGGGCTATCAGGAGTTTAATATATGGGCAAATATTGACTGTTGCTCATGTGAGCCTCTGATGAAGTGGCCCTCTAGGCTCACAGACGTGATGCTTGGTGTCCACGCAAGAAAGATATGGGAGTTTCGAAATAGTTCCCATATGATCCTTAAAAGGGGGGCCTTATAGGCCCTATACCCGAACTGACCCTAAAGCCTAAACCCTAAACTCCTATTCCCTGTCTATTCTTAGGGTACCAACAGCCTCCCTCCCTCCCCAGCAGTTTAAGAAACCCTCATAGAATGGGAATAGACATGCCCAAACATGGGAGTTCAGCCTTTGAAGCCAAGGCTCAGGTAACTACTACACGGATCCATTCCTGCCATTCTTGCCAACCAGAGGTAAGATTCTGGAGTTCTGTTGAATCTATATACATATATAGTTCCTGAAGATTATTCCTGAGAGTCAAATCTGGTGTGTCCCGGCGGGCACCTCACGCAAGCGATGCAATGTATTGGACTTGACTGGCCCCAAAACACATCCATGTCTGACACATAGTTAATGGAATGGGGTGTCTTCAACACGACCGTTCGACAATCCATGCTTCCCAGGCTCATTCCCTTGACAGCTTTCACGTTTCTGCGTTTTCAGGTCTCAGCCTTTGAGAAGGTATCCTCATGAGAACGCTAGAGCCGCAAGAGTTGGCACAATTGCCTGGATACCATACATGGAAAACTGCCACAGGAATGCTGGCAAACAAAGAGGAGTGAGGCTGATAGTCTTTTAGGCTTTTACGCGGGTGTTTGGGTTGAGAGCCAAGTGGCAGGATGTGTAACGATTAAGTAATAGACTTGCAGTGAACGCTGGTTCAAAGCAGTACACACCGCAGCACTTTCCTGGGTCAATCCGAATCCAGCACATTCCGAGAAACCCCATACACATGTCGAACATGGGTGGCAAGCTAGAAATCCGGCAGCCCGAACCGACTAGCGCACACCCGCGGCACACACACTTGTATACATGTCTAGTTCGAGAACATTTGTGGAACGGCCGCTTGGAGCATCAACAGCGATCGAAGATGATCGAATGGTGTCCAGTGGGAGTATCGACATAGGACCCCAAGATGCAGCGTCGCTTTATTCACAGCTTGGCTTGTGAAAGCCTGTGAACGTTTAGGTGGAGCCTGGCTTTAGGACACCGAGGACGAGCTGCTTCACCTTCTAGTACAACCGCATATATCTTCACAACATTCGAAGGTTGTAAGTATCGGCACCTTACATAAGCCCTGAGCGTTGCTAGGAGGATTCCTGGGCCCCTTAGAGCTGCATGTATGCAAAAACCCGGGATCCTAGAAGTAAAGGCCCATACTACAGGGCCACACTTCTAGCCTTGGATACAAGGTCCGGAATCGAGACCTTTCACCCTACAGGTTTATCCCTCATCTTTTAGAACCCTCCGCCATATGCCCGGTCGGCGTGCCAGGATGTCTCCCCCGAGGAAGCACAGAAGGAGGTGGTCAAGCATCTTGTCCTTCACAGGAGTCCAAACCCTAAACCCTTAACCGTAAACCCTAGCCAAGGGAGGGTTTAGGTTTCCAAGAGTGAAGGCCTGTGGGTTCATTGTGCAGAGCTACGCTTTGAAAAATTATGGGGCTGGCTGGACACTTTGGGGGTACTCGACGGGTGGCCACAAACGATAAGAATGAGTAAGTAATACGATATCATAGTAATTTATGTTGTTTGATGGGAAACTATAAGAGTAACAAACTTGTGGCCTCTAGATTGTTGGCGCTGTTTCTGTGGCGTCTGTACTCGAGGGTGGCGATCTTAGCGTGTGCAGGTTGAAAGTTTTGGGTTTTCGGGTTGAGCTTCATGAGTGAAAGTCAAAATCCTCATGTCAACCGTTCCTGAAAAGGCCCCAAGCAGATATCTGCATAGTACCTCTTTTGGAGGGGTGCGTTCGATCAGGATTGTGCAGCATGAGTGTGGGGGTAGGGTTGAGGGCGCGCTCAATTCAAAAACTCGAAACTGTGGTGTTCCCTTTGGGAACGAATATTATTCAGTATGGACCCTATCCGCTATGAAGTCATAAGAAAATGTTGTTCATCTAGGGCCGCTAAACTTGTTTTAGCAAGCCCGGTGCAGACGCAACCTATCTGGGTGCCTGATGTCAGCACTAAACCCCAAAACCCTGAACCTTTAACCCTAAACCCATAGCCCTGAACATTGAATCCTAAACCCTGAACCCTAAATGCAAGTAAGCTCCAGGTTCGAGGCTGACGAGGATTTGGGTTTCCCCGAGCTGGAGATCACCTGGGATGAAGCGAAGCTTGGTGGATTTAGGGTTGAGAGTTGAGGGTTTAGGGTTGAGGGTTGAGGGTTTAGGGTTTAGGATTTAGGGTTTAGGGTTCAGGATTTAGGGTTTAGGGTTTAGGGTTTAGGATTTAGGGTTGGGGGCTTAGGGTTTAGGAATTGGCATAAGGTTTAGGGTTTTGGATCTAGGGTTGAGGGTTTGAGTTGGGTATTCCCGCCGCCAAGTAACAGTCTAGAAGAATAGGGGGAATATTAAGGGCCACATATACCTACATTATCCGAAGTTCAGGAGTTATGGTTTGAGGTTCAGTACGGGTATCAGCGTTTAGGGCTCAGAGTTTGGGGCTCAGGACTTAGGTTTGAGGTTGAGGGACTAAATGAGCAGAATGTTGAAGAGCCAAATGGTACAGAACGTGGAACATGAAATGTAAGTTAGGTTTGTATAATAACTGGGGGTTATGTAAGGATTCGCATAGTCAAGGGCCTAAACGGGTGGAATAGGGCTTTGGTATATAGACATCCTACGTATAAGTGGGTAACCTACATAAGTCCAGTTAGCGGGACTAGAAGTGGGTTATAAGCCCTGTCTCAAGCAGTTACCAAGCCCCAAAACCCTCAACCCTTAATCTCAAAGCCTTAGACCCTGGATCCCCAAACCCTAAACCCTAATCCCTGATCCCCATACATACCTAGAAGCCCTTTAAAGGGACCTTTCAGGCCGTATACAGCAACCCCAAACCCTTGGTCTGGAGGATGTAACCATACACATTAACCTGTGGTAGCTTCCATTTCATTTTGCATGTGCTTCTTCATGATTAGGGTAAAATCCCCAACCCTTTCTAACCCCCGTATATCCCTATCAGATCTAAAGAGAACCTTATATACAACCCCAATAGAATCCTCATACAAGCCTTGTTTTTCTATGACGCCCCAATAGAATGGTTACATAATGCCTGTATAATGCCTATAGAATGAATCCCGGTATGATCACTACATAAGCCTTAGACAATCCCAACGTAACCCCCAATACAACCCCCATTAAAGCCCGGTATAAGCTTTATTTGCGCTATGTAACCCCTATAAGCCTTGCATGATCTCATTATACAATCCCTTTGTACTCCGGAGTAAAACACAAAAGAATCCAGTTCACCCCTATAGAATCCTTATATATAAGCCTGATGAACCTCCTAAAGCCTAAACCCTTAACCCCGAACCCTGAACCCCTAACCCCAAACCCTAAACCCTAAACCCAAAACCTCTAACCCAAAACCCAAAACCCTAAACCCTAAACCCTCCAAGGTCCAAGGGTTGGACTGCTGCCAATGGGAAGTTCAACAAAGAGAACAATGCCCTTCGGCTTGAAGGATATAGGGATTATGTCGAGATATATACATACATGTGTGTAGATATACAAATGCAATTGAATAACTATTGTACATACATAGATATATGGGTGGTTGTCAAAA